TGGCCCCACCCCTAAGTGGCGGTTGGGGGCCCTACAGTAAAATAATGGGGGGGACCTATTGCCCTCCCCCTGGCCCCCACCCCTGAGCGGGGTGGGGGCCCTAAATACTAATAAGGGGGGACCTAATGTCCTCCCCCCTCCCCCCCGAGCAGTGGGTGGGGGCCCTAAATACTAATAAGGGGGGGGACCTAATGTCCTCCCCCTGGCCCCCACCCCTGAGCGGCCGGTGGGGGACCTAAATAAAATATTAACCCCCCTCTCCCCCAGGTGACTAGGGGTCCCCAAACCCCTAGTCACCCCCCTCCCCAAAAAACTAACCCCTACCTACACCCCTCACCCTAAAAATAATGAGGGGGGGGGACCATTATCTAAGTACCTGTAAAAAACATAAAAAATAAAACTTACCATTTGATGTTTTATTTCTTCTAAAATCTTCTTTTTTCAGCCCCAAAAAAGGCCAAATAAAAAGCCATAATAACTGACGCACTAAAAAAAAAAAAAAAAATCCATCTTCACCCATGGAGGGCTCCGCGCAGACCGAGCTCTGCAGGGTGGGGGATGGCTTATAAAGCCTTGCCCCGCTCAGCAATTAGGCTCAGAGCACTCTGATTGGTGGGTTTAAGCCATCCAATCAGAGTGCTCTGACAGGTAAGTGAAGAGACTTACAGGTAAGTCTCTACATTTACTTGTCAGAGCACTCTGATTGGTTGGCTTGAACTCCACCAATCAGAGTGTTTTGTGTCATTTTAAACAGAGTGGGAAAGTTCTTTGGAATTTTCCCACGCTGTGTAACTTGACTCATAACTCTCTGATTTGTGGATTGAAATTTTTTTTTAGCCCCCCCATTAGTATTTAGGGTCCCCACCCACCACAGGGGTGGGGACTGGGGGGGAGGACAATAGGTCCCCCCCATTATTTTACTTTAGGGACCCCACCCTCCGCTCAGGGGTGGGGACCGGGGGGGACGACAATAGATCCCCTCCATTATTTTACTTTAGGGCCCCCACCCGCTGCTCAGAGGTGGGGGCCGGGGGTGCCAATAGCTTGCGCGTCGCGGGTGGGGGCTCGGGAGGGGGGACCTTTTTTTTTTTAACAGTGAGCAGCCACTCACGAAGTCCCGAAATTCTGAAATTCCAAAGTTCCGAAGTGTTGAAGTGTCGAAGTGCCGAAGTGTCGAAGTCCCGCATTGCGGAAGTTCCAAACCGAAAATTTTCCCCATGCACATGCCTATTAATAACACATTATTCTGTAGCAAAAGAAATCTGGGCAAGCTTCCCTTGATGGCTCTTTTGGTGAGAAATGGCGAGGAAATCGAGGTGAAGAATTAATAAAAGACCCCCAGGTGTAATTAGTACACCTGGAGATACCTTGCCTAACTCTCACCTCCCATACCAGAGACAAGGGGACTTGTCATAGATACAGGTAAATAAAGGGTTAAAAAGCCTTTTTGAGCTATTTAGGTCATTCCACGTCTGCAGGGGTTAAAAGCAAGAAATTTCTCTCTTGGTTGCAATCGATACCCCCTTTTATATCACTGCACATGCTGACACAGAGAAGATAACCTTTGCATGTTTTAGAGAAGACGTGCTAGACATGTGCAGTAGATTTCCTGTAACAAGTAATTTGATATGAGAAATTATACTTTTTGCACTGAACGTCTATGATTGGTTGATTTTGTCTTCTGTTGGATACACCCCTATGAAAACTGTGTTTGTTTCATATATACACTGTACCCACATTAAAAAGCCATTATTTTTCTGGAACTTCATGTTGACTGGTCTGCATTAATTGTACACAAAGATTAAGGAAAGCAGGATGTGTTACGGCATAAGTCCATGACAGCTTACATTAGGTAAAATAGTTAAACTTAGAAGGAGGTAGAATAGTCAAATGAAATGAGGTCTAAGGTTACAGATATCAGATGCACAAGGCGACAAACTGACTCACAAGTTAAAGATGTAATTCCGAATCGCGAATCAAACGATCTTGTCATTGCAAAAGTTATTTTGGTTATATGTCCATATGGCACTTTGGAGTTACAGAATTCAGAAGATCCATCGATTAGCTTAAATTCAGAAAAATAAATCCAAAAACAAATGCACAATCTAATATTCATCCCTTTCTTTAACAAATATGCATATGCCAGGTGTGAAAAATAAAATGAAATGTAGGTAGGAATCCATACCTTTTTATCCTGCAAATAAGTGCCTCCATCACAGTTCATTGCCAATAAGTGTTTGTTGTTATCTCTGTCCTTTGCACCTGGCAGTCAGCACAGGGAAAGCATACACAGAAGAGCAGAGATGAAATGAAAAATGAATTATGATGTAATGTGCTAAACGTTAATATAAATGTTAAAGAAAAGTTATTGCTGATTGTCAATATTTTATTCAATGGTGAAAATGTAAGCATTTTTTTATACCAATAGCTGGTAGATGTTTGAGGCTCAATATACCAACAAGTTTCCTTGGTCTATAAATTTTGTTAAAGCTAATACTCTACTTCACTGATACTAAGACTTAGAGTTTACCACCTTGCTCTTTGGATGTACATCCAGAAAAAAATGATTTTTTTTAGCAATTTATTGCCGTAGAAAATGACTGGGGCACTTTAAAAGTGATAGTCTTGCCTTAGGATCATGTGATCAAGTTGCCCCTCGTGATTTTATATATCTGTCTTGCCATACTTGGATTTTAACAAAAATGTATCACATGCGTGTGCTCTTGTTAGAGTAAAGTTAAACTTTCGTTCTTTTTTATTATTTATTTAATTTATTAATACATCATAATTATTATCAAACCTAAACTGCTAGCCATTCAGTTAACACAATGTACAATATGGTTTATTCACCAAATTGTAGCGGCTTTGGGTCTAAATGGCAAATTTTTTGCAAACATTGCAAAGCTTTGACTCTAATTGGATAATCAACTTATTTGCCATTAATTAAGAGCAGTTTATTTTAAAAAATCCATTTGTCAACCTTGTTAAATCTCATTATTCTTTTCTAGTAAGCTTCTTTGTGTTAATTAATAGGATTGCTTGTATGTACAGTACATTATACATTGGAAATTGTATGATGTACATATTTTTTCAGCATATATTGTAAAGGAATGTACATATTTGTTGCCATAGCAGCAAATACAACTCATAAAAAGTGTAACATTCAGAAAGATATATAAATATCAAATATCAGACCTATTTACCTGCACATCTTTAGAGCGTACCTCTGCACTTAGTTCACTTACTGGACCTGGAGATTGATTTCAGAATGAACTTCAATTTGGCGAACATCAGGCAATAAGAAGAATTTCAGATTTCAGAACTGCAATGTGACAGAATCTTGGGGGAATTTACTAGCGTGAGTCTGAGTTTTGTTTTTTGTTTGGAGTAGGGACAAATAAGCAGCTTAGTTTGCCATAATGGAAATAAGGTCTGCCAACCATATGGGCTGGATCTCCTGTCCATCAAGCATTCTAAGATGATTGATGCTTAAGGGACAGACACTAAATGTCAATTCACAGATGAAGTAAGGTGACCAACAGAAGAAGACCTAAAGGAGGAGCAATGAAACAACTATACTTCCAATTCAGGATTCTTCTTGAAACTTTGACTTGTTAAAAGAGACACACCAGCATTGATACTGTGTGTTTTTATTCCTTTTGCCTAGCCTGGGTCATTAATCCTATTGCACCGCTAGCTAACATATACAGTTGTTTAAAGGTTAGATTTTTTTTCCATCTGCTTTGAAAAAAAAAAAATCCTATGTTAATTTTTGTTGTCTATGTTCATTACAGGGTCAGCACTGTGCACAGCGTTTTGTAACATCAAAGGTAACGATGCATTAGTAAATCTACCAATACCTTTTGCAAAACAAACGTGTATATTTGCTAAAGTTGTTAGTTTACACAATACAACATCATTTGTATACCTCATTTACTGTAATAGAAAAATAAACCCACCAACCATCAATGTCATCTACTATGCCAAAGCCAAAATTAGGGAGGTTAGAGGAAGAGGTTCTGTTCGCCAAGTCACCATCAGCAGTGGTGTCATGGCTGCTGAAAGTTGGAACACCTCTGCCACCTCTTTCTCCACCACTATTACTATAATTTAGTCTCAGCATAGTGAGACTAACGGCATGTCCTCTATGCCCTATTTAACAGACAGGATTAAACAGATTTTTTTTCCTTCCTCTTAATGCTGCAACAATTTGTGCTGCCTCTTCCACTGGCCCTGAAGATCCTTCTACCACAGTTACTTCTAATACTTTCTTGCCTCCCCTAAGAAGCAACTAAGGTAGGGTACAAAAACAGAACAATGAGTAAGCGCTAACCAATATATAGGCAGCAACCCTGTAAGGGAATCCCTCAAAAACCCTTAGAATGAGAACTGAAAAAAGTAAAAAGAAGGTAAGGGCTGCGCCAAAGGAAACTGGAAATAACAAATAGTCCAAGAATGTAAGAAAAAATATAAAAATATAAATATGAAAATATAAATATATAAGAAAGTCTTATCTAGAAAAGTCTTGTCGTAATCGTAGAGTCTATGTGGGGTTGATCCAGTGCGATGATACTTGGAATAATCCTCAATAGGAGTCCATAGGTATATGTAAAATAAAATAAAAATAGAGACCCAAATAGTGCAATATGCTAGAACAAAAAGAATAATAAAAAAATAGAAATAAAAACTCACATTTACCAGAGCGTAAAACTCGCTCCGGTATAGAAGGCGTTCAGCGGTATGATCCCCGCTTGCAGGATATACGGTGAGTCTCCTCCGTTAGCGATGTATCCAGTACTCAAATAGAAAGAGACAACCAATAGTGTACACTGAGTTAAAATAAAATAAAATAAAATAACATAAAAAATGGGTACTCACAAGACAGGAGCAGAACAACTGCTCTTAAACATAGGCGCTGGTGGTATAATCCCCACCTAGGATTGCTTGGAGTCCGGGATGTAGAGAAGATGCCAGGTCACAAAATAAATGAATGTGTATATAAAGATATATGGCACGAATAAAGAGTAACCAAATAAACTTTTAATATATAAAAAATTATTCTGTGTATTTTTATATATTAAAAGTTTATTTGGTTACTCTTTATTCGTGCCATATATCTTTATATACACATTCATTTATTTTGTGACCTGGCATCTTCTCTACATCCCGGACTCCAAGCAATCCTAGGTGGGGATTATACCACCAGCGCCTATGTTTAAGAGCAGTTGTTCTGCTCCTGTCTTGTGAGTACCCATTTTTTATGTTATTTTATTTTAACTCAGTGTACACTATTGGTTGTCTCTTTCTATTTGAGTACTGGATACATCGCTAACGGAGGAGACTCACCGTATATCCTACAAGCGGGGATCATACCGCTGAACGCCTTCTATACCGGAGCGAGTTTTACGCTCTGGTAAATGTGAGTTTTTATTTCTATTTTTTTATTATTCTTTTTTTTCTAGCATATTGCACTATTTGGGTCTCTATTTTTATTTTATTTTACATATACCTATGGACTCCTATTGAGGATTATTCCAAGTATCATCGCACTGGATCAAGCCCACATAGACTCTACGATTACGACAAGACTTTTCTAGATAAGACTTTCTTATATATTTATATTTTCATATTTATATTTTTATATTTTTTCTTACATTCTTGGACTATTTGTTATTTCCAGTTTCCTTTGGCGCAGCCCTTACCTTCTTTTTACTTTTTTAAGGTAGGGTACAGTCTTCTATGTGGGGGTCATCAGAGCCACTTTTAATGAGGGCTTACAGCTGAGACCTAATGTCTGGCCTTGGTGGTGGTGATAGTGGTAAAGAAGAGTCCAGTGATGATAATTCTGTTTCCACCAAAACAGGAAGGGTAGAGTGTGGACATGCAGCAACCGAATATTTTCTCCAGCAACTAGTGTGAACTTGCCTCTTGCATCTTTTCCACCATCTCTAAGTTCATTAGTTTCTGCTGAATCCACTCTTTCAATTGATAGTTGAGACATTATATGCATCTGCTACGACTGCTACAAGTAACTCACCCACTGTGAATGTTATCATCCACAACACAAATACCACCACCATCATCACCTGTATTGGCATTATCATTATTTCCATTAGCATTAATCAACTAAGGGACAGTGTTAGTGTACAGGCTAGTATTGCGAAAGCTTGCATTACCACCGATGCAAACCCACCTGCATCTACAGCAGAAGCAAGACAAAGTGTGGAGGCGAATGTAAAGTTTGGGATCACTTGGAGTGCCCCTAATAAGGCCGAGCTGCAGCTAGCAAGTAAGTAGAAAGTGAAGGCCCATTTCACTTGTGCCAATATGAAGCAATTATATTCACAGATACTACAAGTCTGTATTACTGAGGGAAGAAGCAGAACAAGAAGGTACAGCAGGACCACTGACACAATATCTGATTCTGCACAGTTGTCACAACCTAACAGCAACAAAAAAAACAGAGACAAACTGAAAAAAATAGTTTATTTTATCTAGCTGCCACTGCCAGTGCCACTTAAAGAGACTTTTATTCATTGATTTAGAATTGCTTTACCGATTTTGTAATTGTATTTATTTATTTTTTATTTCTCATAAAAGACTAACTTTTTGCTTTGCTGTGCCACTGCTTGTGCTTTGGAAATTAAAAAAACTTCCTCTCTCAGTAATATACATACAGGGTTAATATACTGAATGCAATTTCTTAGGCACAAAGTGAAATGGCATTGTGTACTTGTGTAGTTGTGATATTTCATATACAAAATAACATTTAATAATCTCAGTGTTATATATTGCTTTAAAAGTGCATATATAAGTATCTAGTCACATCTAATGCTTTAATTCAAAGATACACTCATTCATTTTTTGTTAAAGCTAGAGAAATATCCCACCATTCCCCTTTCTAGTGTGGTTCCAATACATTTATATCAATATACAAACAAATTGTGAAAACTAAAATCAGGACTAGAGATGTCGCGAACTGCTCTCCGAACTGTTCGCGAACTGTCCGCCGGCGAACAATAGCGTGTTCGCGTTGGGCGAACATATGCGATTTCCGGTCCGCCCCCTATTCATCATCATTGAGTACACTTTGACCACCTCACAGTCAGCAGACACATTTCAGCCAATCAGCAGCAGACCCTCCCTCCCAGGAAGTGTCTGCTGACTGTGAGGTTCCGGGTCAAAGTGTACTCAATGATGACGAATAGGGGGCGGACCGGAAATCGCATATGTTCGCCCAACGCAAACAGGCTATTGTTCGCCGGCGGACAGTTCGCAAACAGTTTGGCGAGCAGTTCGCGATATCTCTAATCTGGACTATTTTGACAGTATTGGGGAATGCTATATATCACAAATACAATGTTTATTATTTTAATTTTTCATGAGAAAACAAATGGCATCAAGTAAGGATGAGACACGCAGGTCCCTACTATCATGTTTGATGTATTTGAGGTATTAAATGAAAACTTGAGAGACTCGCAGGTCTCATAAAAGCAGTAAGAAGAAAACAAAGTAAGAGACACAGAGGTCTCAATTGTAGTATGCTAAATAACAGAAGTAGGACGCGCAGGTCCCTTAATATGAAACATGCATGGAACATTGCAAAGAGTCTTGTAAGTTAGGGGTTTATGGCATGTCGCCTTGAATATGACTCTGTCTAGGGGTTGTCAGGTAGGGGAGGAAGGGATGGGGGAGAGGGAGAGAGGAGTAAGGCAGAAGAGAGGAAGAGGAAAGAAAAAAAACAGTTGATATTAGCACTGTTAGCTAGCCTATCTGGGTAGCAGAGCTTATCCCTTGTTTGGGGAATGATCTCTCATGTATGTGGTAACATGGTGTAGGGTGTCATCTTAGTAATTGAGTTTGCTAGCAAATCCGGTTCCTGCTGTAGTCAGCAGCCAGTGTGCCCAAATGTCCATGTATTTTTGTGTCTTGTCAGCTGACTTCATGTGTAAGTCCTCTATAGCCCTCATGCTCTCCATCTGAGTGAACCAGTTGGTCACTGTGGAGGTTTCCTGACTTTTACAGTATTGGGGTAAAATCTGTTTTGCTATGTTATGGACTCTTATTGTGGTAGATTTTTTGTATATATTGCTCGGTGTCGTCATGTGGTGGTAAAGGGAGGTGGCTCTTCTGTTACATAGTTACATTGTTACATAGCTGAAAAGAGATGTGTCCATCAAGTTCAGCCTTCCTTACATTTGTTTTTTGCTGTTGATCCAAACGAGTTCTGTGAACTCTTTCAACATGCCATGGACCCCCGTCCAAAAAGGCTGTATTTTATCGCACTCCCACCATATATGCAGAGCCGTCCCTACCTCAATGGTGCATCTCCAGCACTGTGCAGGGTGTTTTGGGTTTTTTTTTGTGCAACATGTCTGGAGTGCGATACCAGTTAGTTAGCAGTTTGTAGGCAGTATCCAGGGTTTTACTAAAGACAGAACATCGTCAAACTTGTGGTTCAGGGATGTTTCCCACTTCCCCATAAATTTTGGTGATACAATTTTAATGAGCATGTGCAGCATGGAGTATAGGAAGGACTAACCATGTAGAAGCGGCTCAGGATCAATGTGGTAGTGTGTTGATGAAGCTCGTCAGCTGTTTGTATTTGAATAGTTGTATAAAGGTTTGGGTCGATTCCCCCAAGATGTCGGGGAAGGTTCCCAGTCCCATCTCGGGGTCTTGGTGGTGTAGTCTGGGCAGTGGGTCAGAGAAGAAGTCTTAAAATGTGTTAAGATCTAGGCCCGGCTTGAGGTTAGTGTTGTGTGTTAGTGGGAGTAGCGGTGATGGGTATGAGGGAAGGCGCTCAATACCACTATAACGTGCCAGATCTGTAGTCTGGTACATGTAAATATGGGTGCGTCCCCCTTTAAGCACCCAGACAGCCACTAAATCAGGGCTACTGGTGTACCAATATCTCTACTGTTTTCCATAGTTTTTCACTTTAATTGTAGACCATTCCACTATCCAAAGGAGATGGCATGCAACATAATAGAGAGAGAAATCCGGCAGTGCCAGACCTTACCTCACCTTGGGCTGTGTGAGTTGGTTGTACTTTAGTCTAAGTCTTTTCCCTGTCCATACATATTTCCCAAATGCCATGCGTAAGGATTTAAAGTAAGACCGTGTAATTCAGATGGGTATAGCCTGGAGCAGATATAGTAGCCGTGGGAGGAAGTTCATTTCTGCTACCTGGATGCGGCCCAGCCACGAGATGTGTGAATAAGGAGGGGGGGAGGGTGTTTATGGGTAAAAAAGAAGCTTCGCCATCAACTATGCTGTCTAGGTACAAGCATCAAGGGGCAGCAAATCTCCTGTCCACCAGTGAACCAGGGTTCCTGCAAACCCTGACCAGGACGCTCAATTATGTGAGGGAGTCGAAGGAGGCCCTGAGCCTATGTGTGGGTCAGGACCTATAAGGTAAGGTGAGAACAACGGACACACTCGTATATTCTGCGTGGTCAGAACCTAGCATCTCTCCATAATAACTCTATATGTAGGTATTCAGCATGTGTGTTCCTTGCTATGAAAGTTATGGCCCCATAGGCATAGTGCGTGTCAGACAGCGTATGCAACGTAAAAGAAAACATGTATGGAACATTCAACATAGAAAGCTAATCATAATAATTGTGTTACCATCATCTAAACACCCAGCCCATCCCTTGCTGCCTGGGACCAAAGAGCCCCTATTAATGCATCTGCACAGCATTTTTATTTTTTTTTAAATTTAATTTTGTGTGCCCTTTCCCCTTCTACACTCCCCCCAACCCCTGTATGCAGACCTCTCCCTGTACTGTTCAAGAAACCTTAGCGAGAATCCTTCCTGAGAACTCCCCTTCTCAATGGGAGCCTGAATCCCGAGTGGGCCAAGGCGTGTTCGCATCCTCGCCCATTCCCAAACAGGCCTTCACGTGCAGGCAGGGCATCCGGCAGCTCTGGCCCCTCTGGCTGCTTTCAATGTTCAGGGGGGTCATCCCAGTATCCACGTGCAATGGTCGGGCAAAAGAAAACAAAATAGATAAGTTCTGGTAACACAGTTCTCAGTTCGATCGCGTATCAACTAGGTCGCATTTCCCTATGGCCGCGTAGCCTGTAGGCAGGATCTTCGCTGCCTCGGGGGCTTTG